ATGAAAAAATTGGTGTTTCAGTAGTTATTGAGTATCTCTTGTAAATTATCGAAATGTCACAGGGTTGGAGGGCATTCAGTGATTTAATTCAGATAGCCTTGATAGTTCATTTCACTTCAGTAATTTTTAATTGATACCTAGATCTTCATAGCTTGTTCACTTTGCTGTTAAAATTATACAAAGGGAATAGGGCAGAAACAAGTGTGTTCCAACTTTATGTACAGACTGAAATGTTCCAACAAATCAGGGTTTTGTAACTTTAAATTGTGAATGTCTGCATGGGTAAAATTTCAACTTCTGTATAATAATTTTGGATAGTTTTTGTTCCAGGCAAATATTAATATATATAGTCCTGCTCCTTTGTAATCTCTTGCTGTGCTTTGCAACACAGAGCATAGGAGTAGTGTAGTAAGCTTTAATTTCACCAGGTGTGCCAAATAAAACAGAACATTTCCAGGCTACAGGTTTTGAAAGGGAAAGGAAAATGTATGTTTATGTCAGTATTTGCTGTTCTTTGGCAAAAGTGTGGTTAACTCCATTTGTACTACATCTTAGTGATTTGTTCTCCCTACTTATAACTGATAATGCTTCAGATTTGTCAGAAGTCAAATGCTGAGTGCCTCTGAAGAGAGCTTTACAGTTACCATCAATTTCAGACAGTAAGCACTAGAAGAATTGCCAGTTATTTATTTATTCTTTTAGAACTGAACTAACTTCGTTAGGACTTTACAACATCCCCTGTTTTCCCTTTAGAGGTGGTTTAATTTGCAGCATAGTAAATGCTGAGCTCTTTTCTCTAGCTTCATTTTGTTTAAAAGACAGCAGCAGAAGCAGCTCATGACAACTCTTACAAGTACTTCTGTATATTTTTTTAACAGATGATATTTGGGTTGTTTCCAAGACTCTGAACTTTGATCCCCTTGACACTTTCATTGCAAGTAGTGCTTTCTTTGGACCATCCTCCCACAATGAAATAGAATTACTACCACTGAAAGGCTACTGCCCCTCAAACTGGCAATCAAACGGTAAGGTGTACAGCAAGTAATTCAGAGTTGTGGGAGACAACTATTGAGGGAAAAATTGGGCCAGAAATGAGGGATTAGATTAAATTCCTCAAATCTAATACATTATTTTATTCACAGTATTTTTTCCTTGTATCTTTGAGCATGTACCTTCATGCAGTTAAACCTGCAAAGTAGCTAGTAAGGAATTCTAAATGGTTGATGAAATTAGGATAATATAAACAATGTCATAAATAGTATAATATAGGATGCAACTTGACTGTCAGTCAGTATCACAGGGATATGTTGTTACTGTCCTTGAAAAACAAATGAACAGAAACCCCAAGCAACACTCTATGTATTTGTATAAAACTTGTATTTATGTAAAAAGCCATGTATGAAATCTGTGATTTGGCTGTCCTGATGTTCCTGTCTTTGCCTTTGTTACACTCTACAATGACTAAAAAATTGCTGTTTCAAATTTCAGAATTTATTTATTTTCATAATTGTATTCTAGAAATAAAATTTTACTAAACCCAGCACTGTTGTTTTTTAATAAACCACTGACCTTTTTATTCCTTAGCAACTGTTCCCAAGTAAGTTGCAGCCATCCTTTTCGGTTTAACATTTTTGTTTGGGGTATTTCTGTAATATTTTGTCATCAGGGTTTTGGAAACAGTAAGGTTAATCAGCCTGAAGTCAGTATGGGTCACAAGAAACAGATAAATGTACTGCCAAATATGATGCAGGAGTTGGTTATTTTTGCTGTAGAATTGAGCTGAAGTTTTGGGTTTGTTTTGGTGGGGTTTGTTTTTTTTTTTTTAAAAAGAGATAAAACATGCATTATGTGGTCATTCTGGAGCTAGTAACAGTATCTCTCTGCTTACTTTCTTTTAATGCAATATGACAACTGTGTGCTCCATCACAAAAGGCTTTATTAGGAGCACTGAACCTCAAGCTGGTTAAGTGAGTGGTTCAAGTTAACTAATGAGTCTTCTTAGACTTTGATGTAATCATGAGGGAGGGAGTTCCTGCAAAGCACAATTCAGTAAGCTTACATTCAACTCCTGCTCTGAAACCTGGTCAGAAGACTCAAAAATATAGAAAGGAAACTACAGTGGCACATGAGTTCTTTGTGGGCATGTGCTATTAAAATCATGGGCTTAAAATGCAACTGTGGAGGTTGATTTTCTTAGTTCCCTGAGTGTGAATTGCAGGACTGCATCTCTAGAGCAGCCAGGGTCTGGAAGAGTTAATAATACAGCTTTTTAGTTTTCATGTTTTATTTTCTTAGGAAATTTTTGGTCTTTACTTTCTTTGTGATCATAAATACAGATTGTTTCATAATTCTATAACCATTACAAAACTAAAACCCTAATTTGTATGGAAGTAAAGCTTTAAGTATTGTTTAATTGTTGGCAGTGATAAACAATGGCAAAAGAGAGGTAGGATGGTTGCTAAATATATTGGAAATGTGTTATTTAAACAACTCCTCAGCCCCAGAGCCTTAGGAAACCAGCAGTGACTTCAGAAAAATCTAATTGAATGATTGGCATTTTTCTACCCTCTCCCCTCAGCATCCACTGTTGTACACTCTGGAAACAGGCTAGGTGGAACTTGAGTCTGGCCCATTGGACAGGTTCTTATGTTCCTGTCTTGAATTTTATAAGAAAATATCTGCTTAGCTATTTTGATACAGATGGTTTACTTAAAAAATGGATCTCTTGTGTTCAAAAGCCTTCTAAATAACTTCAGTGTTTCTAAAATGAGTAAGGATTTTTTTATCTAAGCCTCATTCCCAGAAGGTTCCTAATGCTGGAATCAAAAATACTTGAAAATAATACAACTTGAAGAGAAGGGCTAGTAAGTCTCTCCTCACCTGGAATGTTCAGTCAGACATGCTAATTGGGTTAACTTGATTGCTGTTACAGGGAGCTAATGACTCTTTTGGCATTTTGTATTGCATTTATCTAGCTGATGTGAAATTTTGCCTACTTTCACTTTTCCCTGATTTTATTTTCTGTGCCCTTTTCAGTGTTGGTTCATGCACTGCTGGTTGGTAATGCTAGTGGTGAGCTTAACTCCTTGAGAAATATGGAGGAGCACTTCAATCCATCCACATTACCACTGATACCATACCTACTGAGAATGTAAGTTACTGGTTTGGTGATGCTGTGCACATACAGTATGTCCATAGGTACAGAAAAAAAAACAACAGAAATACTATTGAGTTGGCCCTATTAAAAAGTGCATGAGGAAAACTAAATCAGAAAAACAGTGCAAAGAATGAGCTGCTGACAGTGCAATTTTCACTGCTATGGAAATGAAAATATATTGGTTGCTTAACTCTAACTCGGGGGATTTAAGTTGTTTTTGTTTTTTTTCTGAAAGCTTAGCTGCAGCCCATGTTTTACAACCTAGAGATGAATATTGGGCATTATTACAATGGGCAGACTGACAGTACAGTCACTGCCTGATCTGTATTTATTGTGTGTGCTTCACAGGGGCTTCAGAGGAGCTGTTTTGCCTTCTCAATATTTAGTGACTTGACACAAAAACTAAAATGAAATTATTTTTTTAGAGAGTCAGAGCAATATAGAGATGTTTCCAAGACTGCTTACAATTCATTGTGTAAAACGAGTAATTAAATGGATCCTTGCTACCTCTGAGGTTTTTCTACCACTCTTAATTCTGTCAGCCTCGTGGCATTAGACAAGTCAGACTGAAAGTGTTAACATAAAGCAAGAAGGATAAAACCCAAGAGCTTTTTGTGTATGAGCCAGCTTTCACCAAGGGAGGTGAAAAGGGGCAGGAATAGACAGCTCAGGTACATGTCAAGGTGCAGGGGGCAGCAACTTGTTATTATGTCAGCTGTTAATCATAAAGGAGCAGCATTTCAATGTCAGGAGAGTGAGAATATCAGCACCATGAGATAGAAATTGTACGTACGCAGTATTATGCTGCAACTTCTGACCACTGTGTTTGTCTCAGGAATTTTGATTCTCAAAATGCTACTAAGAGAGTCAACAAAAGAAAATTCACTCCACCTGCCATCAGCCTGAAACACAAGGTGACATACGGACCTGTCAGCACTGAAGTGGCCATGGGACTAGCTAACAAGATGATCCAAATGTTCTCGTTGAACCCAGATCAAGCCACATCGCTGATTCGCATAGCGCAGATGATGACCTCGTGTGAGAACAGCAAGCCAGTGGAACAACATCAGATCTTACCTGTCACTATCATCCGTGGTATGGAGCAAATACTTCTCTTGTCTGCTGCTGTTGTGTCTTTGCAAAAGTGCTAATCAATGTGTAATGACAGTTAGTGAAGTATCACTAATTTCTCTGTGATTAAATAGTAGACTTGTTTCCCTAGTCATATATTTGCAATTCCAGGCACACTCAAAAGGAGATTCTTATGTAGGTAAACATTAACTTAATTGAAATGGAGTGGAAAAGGTGAGCTTGAATGAACTGCCTCTGTGTATGGAACATCCTTTTGAACTCTTCAGTGACACTGCTGCCCTCACCTACTTCATCTATTTCCTGAAATTTCATTTCTTAGAGGAGGCCCCTCTGATAGTGACCCTGACATTATAACATCCGTTCCATCAGCACAGAGCTTTTGGTCTTTGAATTTGCTTTCTGCCTTTTGCAGGATTTTCAACAAGTGTAAAGTTCTTCCCTAGCAAGATCAATACACAAAATTCAAGTTTAGTGTCTTGTGCTTATTTCTTTTCACATTAAAATCACATTTTGTAAATTATTTGTGTTATTATATAAAATGTTTTCTATTACACATTATTCCTTGCTGGTTTATACTCCTTTCTGTTGTTATTTTATCCTTTTTCAACATATGTGGAAACGCTAATAATCCCTTAATTCAAAGATTTTTTTATTTAAATCAGTATTGAAAAGCACTTACCGTAAATGTCAGCATATTTACTTTGAGAGGATCTAAAACTTACAATAATGACGTTCTTAGTACAGATACCACTAGACTTAAATTGCCTGAGCTTCTGTTAGGCCACCAGACATACTATTCTAATTAAAATTATTAGTCATTCCAACATAATCATCTCTCAAATTGCTTATTCTGTACATGAGGACATGGTATGAGGGATGTGCATGCAGATACTTGTCGTTGTTATTATTTTAATGTATTGATGAGACCCCTTAGCAAGTAATGCATGTATTCAACCAGAAAAAATGGGAAAAACAGCTTTGATTCCCCTCCTCTGTAGTTTTTTACCAACTTAGTGCAGGCAGTATACGCAAAGTGTGAGGCAGCTGGTTGTCCCTGGGTACTCAGGAGCTGCTGAAGCAAGCATGAGCAGTGTTTAACAAGATAAACTGAAGTTATAACAGTTGATTAAAACTACTTTCTAGAAACTTTGCACTTGTAATTTTGGCTTTGTCTTCCAAAATACCAGGTGTTTTTGGAGCTGGAAAGAGCTATCTGCTGTCTGTTGTGGTCTTGTTCCTAGTACAGCTCTTTGAGAGCAGTGAAGCTACGGAGGGTCCAAGGCCAGCTCCGTGGAAACTTCTGATTGCTTCTTCCACTAACGTTGCCATTGACAGGGTACTGCTGGGGTAGGTTACTGAGATTTTTACAGACTACTCCTCCAAAACCAATAATACATGTTCCTCTAATGTGTTATCATCTCTTTTCCTTCAAAGTCTACTTGATCTTGGATTTGAGGATTTCATCAGAGTCGGAAGTATTAGGAAAATCACCAAAGCAATTATTCCCCATAGGTAAGAACCTTCATCTTTGAGGGATCAGAAGTGATTCTAAGACTCATGAGAGTATGCATGCTGTGAAATTGGTGTTTTGAAGTAATCCACAATCTGATAGTAAAATGCTTATCTCGGGGTTCCCCCCCTCCACTGCACAGTGGAGAAATTTTATCTTGATTTGGGAATGTCACTTGTTGCTGAATAGAGCTAATGATTATAAATGGGAAGTAGAAGAAGAGAACAACAGTGGTGACAGATTTGGGAGTTTGCACAAGGAAGAAAAGCAAAACAGACAGATTTTTGAAATAGATATATACTGCTGTAGTGATAAGAATTAGGAGGAAGTAACCATAAATTTTAATGTTCAGAGAATTAATGGTCACAACTCACAAATTCTGTACTACTTATCAAAGTTATCTTTGCTATAGTGTTCTGGGCTTTGTCCTTTAGCTACTTAAAAGTAAGCAATCTACATAAAATTCGAGAGAAAAAAAGTAAAGTTCAAGATAAAGATTTGATTTCCATTTCTTGGTGTCAAAAGCCTACCAAGGGTATAAAGTGGTATAAAAACCAAGTTTTACATTGGTTCTACTCCACTCTGATATCAGCTGGGTACTTGAAGTCATTTACTGCATGTACGTGTCTGGCTGGAGTGGTAGGGGCTGAGCTGGTGGGATAAAGGTCTGGTTTAAAACAGGTATTCTACTGAGCTGTCTCAGCTGGTCTGGGATAGGAAACTGCTGGAAAGTTGTTATATGTAAAGTATGATTATTTTTCTATGTTGGGTGTTCACTGAAAGCACTGTTATTTTCAATCATTGTAATGCATGTTATAAAATCTTTTTGAAGTTTACATGCTGGCTCAGGAAATGACAATGAGCAGTTAAGAGAACTGCTTGCACTCCTGAAGGAAGATTTAACTCCAGTTGAAAAAACATATATAAGGAAGAGCATTGAGCAACATAAACTGGGGACCAATAAAACTATACTGCAAGAGGTACAGTCCATGGGATGGGGAAGTGGGGATTGGCTCTGCCTTATCCACAAGGAAACTGGGAATCCCCTCACACCTGCCAAGCTCTTGCTTTTGAGAAATAAACTGAATGTTAGGACTTGGACAGGTTTGATTCCACAGGTGTAGCTTAGTGACTTACCTGTATATGATTTCTCTGAGTTGAACTTGCAGTTCCTGTTTAGTGATATATTATAAGCCAGAAATCCTTTTTGAACATGATTGCAAGCTGATTTAATAGTACCAATCTAGTTTATGGGGTGGGGAGATAAAAAGTTCTGAGTACAACTAGCCTGCACTGTCACCTTGAAACTAAAATTGATATAGTCATAAAGGTAAAAGATAAGGACTGAGCTAAATCTATCCTAGAGTTGAATAACAACTGCCAAGAAGACTTCAAATATATTTTAACTAACTTTATATTAAAGTATTCCTTTCTAAGAATATTGCTGCCTGTAGAAAAACCTCCTCAATTTCTGGTCTACCCAATTTTTTGCCTTTTTTCCTCAGTCCTAGACTTTAAAAATCCCAGTTTGTTGTAGAGCAATTGTAACAAAGCGGCTCTGAGCAATATGTCTCGTGCTTATTCCTACTGGTCATTGCTGCCACTTGGGCTGCTGGGGCTCAGCAGGTTTTGGAGGCTTGTGTCATCTGAACTCTATCTGTACCAGACCAGATCTGGTCTTAAAATATGTGAATCTGTGAATGACGGTAACATAGAAACACCCCAGGCATAAGAAATGGTGACCTGGGATCCTTCTCCATGCGTACACAGTGCCTCTCACTGCAAGTTACAATAGCATTTTTCAAGACCCAGTGAGTATGACACAGCATGCAGGAGAAATGCTCAAATTAATGTAGGGGTATTTACTGCCAGAGCTCTAGTTCTGTACTGCACAGAGATGAACTTTTAAATGACCTGAACTTTTTGTCCACCCATTTTCCCCTCACTAATAATGACAAAGGTAAAAGTGGTTGGAGCGACCTGTGCTGCCTGCCCATTCCCTTGTCTGAATAACCTCAAGTTCCCTGTAGTGATGCTGGATGAGTGCAGTCAGATGACTGAACCTGCTTCTCTCCTTCCTATTGCAAGGTAGGAAAAACCCTTCCTTTTGTTTTTCAGAGAAGTAGTTTTTAGTTAGCAGTGACACAGCCTCAAATAACAGCCAGACTTGTATGTCTTTCTATGAACATGAACCTCAAGGTCTCACCTTAAACACCAGAACAGTAATTTTAAATTGAGTTTAACATCCTTTTAGAACTTTTTTCTTATTTTTTAACGCTCTTACTCAGGTTTCAGTGTGAAAAGCTTGTTCTTGTTGGAGACCCGAAGCAATTGCCACCAACTATTCAAGGGTCTGAGAGTGTTCATGAAAAGGGGTTGGAGCAGACTCTCTTTGACCGGCTTTGCCTAATGGTAGGTGCTACTTACCCCAGCTTTGGAAAAGGTGGAGGGTGACACTCTAGGTCCCGTGATGTCACTGAAAGAGCTCTGGTTTAGATGTCAGAGGGCCAGAGTTTCAGCCTGCTTTTTAATTAAGCAGGCTCTGTTCTAGTGCATTTCTTTCTATCTGCTATTTTCACAGTGCATAAAAATTTGTAAGCATGACAAATGTAAAACAAGAATGAATTGAAAAACAGTGATGGATTGTGACTTTGGATCTTATTGTGCAGTTTTCAGTGACTTTGGATCTTATTGTGCAGTTTTCAGTCCAGGTAGAAGAATCAAGAGCTACAGCATTGGTTTTTGCTTTAGTTGGAGTGAAAGCACGAAGGTTAAGCCAGCTTCCTGCAGGAACTGTTGCCACTTACTCCTTGGTTGACCCAGCTGGCATTAAAAAATAGTTAGTACTTTTTCCCAGTCACACTTTGTGTATCCTCACTTTTTAGGGACATGAAGCAATACTACTTAGGACACAGTACCGATGTCACCCTGCTATTAGTGCCATAGCCAACGAGCTGTTCTATGAAGGAAATCTGAAAGATGGGGTTTCTGAGAAGGACAGAAGTCCTTTATTGGATTGGCTGCCAACACTATGCTTTTATAGTGTTAATGGTGTAGAGCAAGTAAGTTCTTAAACATTTCTTATGTAAAAAGTCAATACTATAGCTTTTCCTCCTTTCTGTTTCTTTTTGCATTCTGTTTGTGAGAGATAAATTTCAATTCTTCCCCATTTCCAGATGGAAAGAGACGGCAGCTTTTATAACATGGCAGAAGCTCATTTTACAGTCAAGCTCGTCCAGTCTCTGATTGCAAGTGGAATAGAAGGATCTGCAGTTGGTGTAATTACACTTTATAAATCACAGATGTGTAAGGTTTGTATCATCTATCATCAATAAAACATGTTTCTTAAAATTTATTTGTTTACTCTAAACATAAACTCCATTTCAACTAGGAAGAGTCAACTAGAAGTGAGAAACAAATCCTGGAAATATTTCCATTTGAAATCCTGACAATATTTCCATTTGGAATCCTGACAATATTTCCATTTGGAATCCTGACAATATTTCCATTTGGAATCCTGACAATATTTCCATTTGTTTTCCTTACACGTGCATGTTAATAAAATGGTCAAATTAAATAGTACATAATTTTCATGCGTGAATTAAGGGCCATAGCAAACTGGTTAACAGAGTGGGGCAGGTTGGAGTTGTACCTCACCCATCACCCAAGGCATGACATGGGCTGCTGTGATGAGCACATGACAGCCCTGCTTGCTGCATGGAACACAGCAGTGTTTGACCAGATAGAGATTCACTGTGTAGTGTTATCCTGTGATCTGTCACTGCACTCTACTTAATTAGTTTGCTTATTGTGTAGACTCAGGCTTATTGAGTGTGTTTGCTCATGTTCAGTGACTGACCAAGTAGCATAACTCACCACCATCCACGTTCATCTGTCTTCAGATCCAGAACTTGCTCAGCGGTGTGCACTCGGAGGCTTTTGAGGTCAAAGCTGTCCAGGTGTCCACTGTAGATGCCTTCCAAGGAGCTGAAAAGGAAATAATTGTTTTGTCGTGCGTAAGAACAAGACAAACTGGGTTCATAGACTCAGAAAGGAGAATGAATGTTGCACTAACGAGAGCCAAGAGGCATTTGTTGATTGTTGGAAATCTGGCCTGTTTAAGTAGGAATAGACTGTGGGGAAGAGTAATTCATCGCTGCCAAGGTAATATTTTATTTTCCTGTACTTCTGAAACCATGCAGCTCATCTTAACTATATATATTAAAATATTAAAGTGTCTATATATACTCTGAAATCTGTATCACATGTAAAGGCTGTAGTATGCATGTTATATAAAACAGTATATTTAATACACATAAAACATAGCATATTGCAGGAAAATCCAAGTATTTGCCGAAGTGTGAGGTGCACGTTTGCAGTATTATCATCAAACTGTTTTTATCCTTGAAAGGGTATTTGTTGTCCAGTAAAGGGAAGGTTTCTTTTGATGCCAAAGAGAATGCTCATGTGGAATGTTGAAACCCCTTACTGCACTTGTACTCCTTGCCCAGTTTGCTCGGGCAGAAACAAATCACAAACAACAGTATTTCTGAACAGGTAATATTTAAATGAAGAAAATAAAAATGCGGAGTGTCTTCCTGCAGCTAGGGGCTACAGTAACTGCTGAATGCAAGAAGAGGTGCCAAAACAGTGATTATTTAATTTACCTACTTGATTGACATCAAAGGGAGCATCTCCTTAATAGTTGAACACTGAAGAAGATAAATTTTCAAAGCACAAGTATTTTAGTCGTGTGATAGGTGTGGGGAAATAGATGTTTGTATCACCACAGCCTCATTACACAATGGATGCTGTAATTATCCTGTTTATTGCTGTTTTTAGGATGGGAAAATGGATTACAACATGGAAGCCAGTGTGAGCAGCAGCTAAACGACATCCTGAAGTGTTACTTGGAGAAATGGAAGGAAGAGAAACAGAATAAGAAAAAGGAGAAGTAAAATGTGCACTTATTCTTATGAAGAACATGTGAACTGTCTGTCTGTACGAATGATTTACATTTCATGTGGGAAGTTGCAGTTTGTATCTCTATGTGCTGATACTTCTGTTTTGACCCCTTGTTTGTATGACTAAAAAAGAATAAAGTACCTTTATTTGCTTGATAACTGAAATACTTTAATATTAATGAAGTACATAATTGTGGTGTTAGTGTTTCATTGTTCTTTGGCTTAGATATACATGTAACATCATAGCTAAGCCCAGTTCTGTCACCTTGCCCACTTACAAATAAATGATATAGAAGGAGTGTGGTTAAAACAAATAAAAGGAAGAAGAACAGAGTACTTAAAGTAAAGTTACATGTCCTTAGTCTATTAAATCTTTGGATGTCAACAAAACAAAATGAGGATGGATTAACCTATATAAAGCTTTTCTCTTTATTTAAACAAGTTTTACAAAAAAAGTACTTACCTGTGTTTGCAAACTAAAATATATATATATATATATTTGGAAAAAGCGCTGTTCCCTAGGAAACTCCTTGTGCCCCCCTCCAAAAAAAAAAAAAAAAAAAAGTCTGGCCAGAGTCTGTCTCAAAGGTGGTTAATGTAGGAATAGTGGAGAGAAGTGGGCTAAGCATGGAAGTGGTAAAAATTCTGGATGCTGCCATGCTGTTAAACTTCCAGAGAAGGCTCTGTGGCCCTCTGACAGCCTCACCTAGAGCAGGTATCCCAGCAGCACCAAGATGATTTGGAGTAATATGCTTTCTTTTTACAAAACTTAGGAATAAATTGCCTGGTGAGGAGCTTGCTGTGTGCAGTGATGGGTCTGGAGCACAAGTGTGCTGAGTTCCCTTGTGGCTGAGGGAACTGGGGGTGTTGAGCCTGGAGAAAAGAAGGCTGAGGGGAGACCTTCTGGTTCTGTCCAAGTCCCTTGGAGGAGGGTGGGGAGAGGTGGGGGTGGGTCTGTTCAACCAAGGACCAAGGGACAGGACAAGAGGAAATGGGCTCCAGTTGTGCCCAGGGCAGTTGAGATGGGATGTGAGGAAGAATTTCTTTGCTGCAAGGGTTCTGAGGCACTGGAAGGGGTTGCCCAGGGCAGTGGTGGAGTCCCCATCCCTGGAGGGATTGAAGAGTCGTGTAGACACAGTGCTGAGGGACATGGGTTAGTCAGGGACTGGTCAGTGTTGGGTTCATGGTTGGACTCAATGAGCTTAAAGAGCTTTTTCCGACCTTTATGATTCTATGATTTTATAACCCTAAACCCCCTCCTTGCTGTGTTTAGAGACAAAAGCAACACACATTGTTTAGTCTGTCTGTGTTCTTAGCCCAGGTGCTATTGCAGAGGCTGCCTTTGAGGAAACAGAGCCTGTTGCTGTTGCTTTATGCTTCTATTTTGTTAGATCAACCAGAAAAAAGCAAACCAGCCTGTCCTGGGCTGCACCCAGAGCAGCGTGGGCAGCAGGTGGAGGGAGGGGATTCTGCCCCTCTGTTCCGCTCTCCTGAGACCCCACCTGCAGTGCTGCCTCCAGTGCTGGGGCCACCAACAGCACAAGGAC